TTTATTGTAATAAAGATACGAAATAAGATACGGACACACAGGTCAGTAGTTGGCGCTATACTATTTCAGTTTTCTAATTTCTGATTTCAGTTCAAACGAGAGTTCGTATTTGAAAGTGATATAAGGCCCATTTGCCTGAAGAGTTGCCAGGGATGGATGGCCCTTATTTCGTCTCTATTTCTGGTTATATACTCGATGATTAAAATAAATACAAACTTTATATTTTATTATCTATCCAACAGTGACAGATATTTTTTATCACTATCTACATTATGTGATATTACATATGAAGTACCTTAGTGCCCTCAGTAGATGTCGCTAGTGATGACTTCTGAAATTAGTTATTTTTTAAATTCACAACATAGTGTCCGTCGATTACCTGTTTCATTCATCCATTCACTCATTCATACTATTGCCTACCTTAAATTAAGTCAACGTCTACAATGGTTTTATAAATAAAATAAGGCAAGAAATTATGTATGTTCTAAAAATTCCTATATTGTACTATTTCAAGTGTGCAGAGCCAACAAACGGAGAAAAGTGGTGGTGGTGTAGATCATCAATGTCCGCTACCTGCGGCTGCGGCTGCGCGGCTTCGGTTCCTGCTCGTGGTTACTGAGCTCTGACAGGGAGCTTGCGCGTTTCATGCTGTCGAGAAAATAATATTAAAGTAGGTAATGTAACGAATAATTCCCGTTACCCCGAAAAAAAGGGAATTTAAACTGAAAAAAAAAATGGCGAGACTAGCAAATCACTTTTTAGGGTGCCTTCAGATTATTGCACTACCCGATTTCAAAGGCCCGCGTGAGGGGTGAGCGTGGCTCCTAGATAGGACGCCGATCTTAACTATATGTATTAACGATCTTAACTTACTAAATCTTATAGGTCCCAAAATTAGAGTTAGGGTCCATTGAAATCGGGTAGTATAATAAACGTTTTAGACGCTTATAAAAGTGCTGCAGTGGCGCCGCTGTGACGCTTCATCCGTGCCACTATTAATATTGATACAATATTTAGAAGCGCAGCACATTGTCGTGACACACAACCTAGATATAACGTTCGCAAACTAGATCGATAATTTCAATGACACTAGGCCACGTTAATTTATGTTTATAATGTAAACAGCCTTATTAATTTACTAATATTTGTTTCTTTTTTTTTCACACAATTCGGGAGCATATCTTTATTCTATCCTCTAAGGGAGCATATGGACTGTGAACTGGCAATCGGTACTATCTCAATTTTGACAACTTTACAGGTGAAGAAATTTTTTTTCGTCTTTGTGTAAAGTTGTCAAAATATTGATGATATTATTATTTGTAAATAAAAAGGTAAGTAGTAGCCACAAACATGTCACTGCACCGCTTCTACAAGTGTCTCATTTGAAAGCGCCTTTACACGTAGGTAACAAAAACTTTTTAAACTCAACATCGCGGTTTTCGACACGGCGTAATAGTTGGTAGGTACTTGATTCGTGTAAGAACAGAAAGTTTAAAAAAACTGAACTTTAAAAAAAATGTACATTCTCCGAATGAACTATTCAGGTATGAATTAAGACAGGGGCACTTCTGTACCTACCCCCATATTTCGGAGTTATTTACAGAGTACAGACAGTGAGGATTTCACAAACATTTTCACTAACAATTTATCGTAATTTAATTTCATGACACTTCACATTTACAGAAACGGAATAATAGATGAGGTAAGATGTACCTGTCAGGGTCAGTGTAGTCTACATCAGGCAGGTGTGCGGAGTGGCGGCTAACAAGGCGCTGCAGAAGCCGCTGGGAGCCCCGGCGCAGCAATGCACCCCACCCGCCACCCGCACCCTGCCCCGCGTTATGCAATTTACACTCCATTTCGGTTTGACTACAACACCCAACACAATTTTGTGTTTTATACCCCTATAATTACGCCTGTTTTGTTGTAGTAAATTTTTAGGTTACGAGAAGTTTTGTTGTGTTATTTAAGCCTAGAGCCGCACCTACCGGAAATTCTGCCACGTTATTTAGGCGTTATGATAGCGATCTCAATTGAAGTAAATGACAGCCTCAATTATGCGGCAGATTTTCGGCAAGCGTAGCGCTACGCTTAAAAACTTGGGATTAATCTAGCGGAAAATGTCAACTGAATTGAGCATGCGCAATTTCCTTTAGACCTTGTTAAACTACGTTAACATATAACAAAGGGTCAATGCGCGAGTGTAATTCAGCGACGTAATTTCTTCTAGATTTGTCCTAGCCGAAAAAATAATAGTAAACAGGACTTAAATTTCCAAAAAATGCAACCTTAGAAAATATTTTGAGACCAAGAATTTAGACTTATCTGACTATAAATAGTATTCAGGCTTCAAATGGTTGCACAGTGTAGGAGTAATTCAAATTTGAAATATATGTTGGAAACAATAATCAATAAAAAGAAACAAGGGTTGATAATTTAATAAAGAAACCTTTATGACAAGAAGTGAAGTAGCTGATGATGAAGCATGACACTACGATGGAAGACGATGTGATGTTCATGCCTTGATTTCACTAGACTAATAGCGAAATAAAATAATTTTATCATAGTGTTGATTTGAGTGTGGGATTTGGTAAAATGTAAGGGGGCCCTGTACAGGTCGTATTAAGTATATTACTTTTAGACCCCGAAATAGTGGGCACTGGAATCTTATAAAAGTTGTATGTGCTGTAGATTAAGGGATTCCACAGTATTGACGCAAACGGACACAACACAATACATTTTGTCAGCGGACTTTTTTATAAGGGATATTTAGGAACTGATGGTCTTGTCTGCGCCACCGGACAAGAGTCTATGGGGCGAGCTGAAGGTTCTTAACCCTTATAAAAGGGCACGAACCTCGGCTCAATCTGGCATTCCGTGAAACAGAATGGAAGCAAATTTTTGTAATCATATCCTAATGAACTTTTAAGTCAATTATGTAAAGTGCAAACTATTCTATTTCCTTGGTAGCGGCCACACATATCAGTATCTGCAAACTATACTCGAACCAAATTCGATGTATAATAAATATCATCAAACTAAAACGTTACAATTTTTAGGATTTTCACTTTAACCTAAGGTTATGTAAAATAAAAAATATGGAAAATAAAGTGTAATGTTTCTGAAAATAAGTTTGAAATTTAAATACGCGAGATTGTATTGATTTCGACGTGTGATATATCGTCGATGTTTTGTAGAAAGGGCGTAGGCGACATTTCTTAGATTTTTCAGCGGAGCATGTTTCAGATTTTAACGACCGTTTTAAAATAAAAACTTAAATTTAATTAAAACAAAAAATTGAATTTTAAAACACGACGTAAATATTTCAAAACAGTCGTTAAAAAGTAAAACATGCTGCCCTGAAAAATATACCAAATTTATAATAATTCTAATACTATCGTCCAAATCATGGAATTAACAAACTATACTTTAGCCAAATTCGATGTAGATTTAACGTCAACATTCTTAAATTTATGATTTTTAATGTTTTACAGTTACCACAATTCCAACATTATTTTCCCCGAAATTCGATTACAACAATCTCATCAAATGAACTTTATTCAATAGAAGTTTCAAATCACTACACACACTAGTAAGCAATTTGAAACCAAGATAAAAATTACCAGTAATTATTTAATTGTAAAAGTGTGTCATCCCCATTGACTTACAAATAAATGGACGACGGGTCTAATACAAAAACCACGAAAAAAATGTCCCAAGTCACCCTATTCGAAATTTAAATTGTAATGTCATCCCAGTATCGCGCTGTCAGTAGAACAAATGAAGACTAAAGCGGAGTGTGGCGCTCTGTATACGATTTTAGCGCCTTACAAGTGCGGACACTTTTTAGCGCGGACCCGACGTCCATATAATTTTAAGTCAATGGTCATCCCTAATGATTTTTTTTTATTGAAGAGAGATATCGCAAACATTTGGAGTAGTAATTCAAGTTCATATTCGGGAATTGATACTGGATATGTAAGTGTATAAAATAAAATCTTTGTTTCTAAAAATTTTGTTTCTTTTCATCTACCATAACCTACTATCTAGCAGAAAGTATTAACTGGAATCAAAATTTTTAATTACTTTATAAATAAATCATACGTATCAGTAGATACTATGCAAACTTTGTAATAATTTGCTATTACTTCTACACAACCAAATTACCTACTTGCCTATGTAAATTCTAATTATGCGGGCAGGCCGTGGGCAGAGCTAGCCCATATATTAAGCATTAACTAAAAATGTTCTTTACACCTGCCATCATTGGTTGCCTAGCAACGTTTTGTTATTTAAATGTTATCGAATTTGGCTAGAGTTCGATACGAGAATACCGGAGACTGAACGAGATTTAATATTCTCCAGAAGACGGGTGACCTTTATTTAGTTCATATCTAGTTTGCACGTTACAGAATTGAAATAAAGTACATTATGCTATAGTTACAAAAATTCGCTTTCGGCGGAAATGTAAGTGAAGCCTTTGTTGGGAATTTTAGAGTTATTAAACATTAATTATTGTAAATTTAATATTGCCTCTGGCAACATCTCCCCTCTGTCCTCTCTCGATGTCCGAATAAAGAGTGTGCTATGATGGATTTCCTCCTGTGCCCTATACAATATCAGGCAGCTGCCGAACGGCCTTTGTACACTCGCCAGAAGGGCAACTTGGTGTGCTCCTTGTCCTCGCCGGCGGCGAGAACAATGTTGTTGATAGATGTCTGCGGAATCCCTTAGACGGAAGTCTAGGTCACTAGGAGGCGAAGAACAAAATGATGAATAAATATTTTCCAAATCAACACCAAGTGAAAAATGCAGGGAACAATCACGTTCATGCAATCCTCGTACGTACAATGTGCTGTTTTAATATTCGTCATGGAAGTGGACCATAAATTGCATAACACCGCAGACTAACCGTATTGTTTAACATTTACTACAAAACCAAAATAAAACAAACCAAAAATGTTACATAAATATTTATTAACAATTTAAAAATTACTATTCGACGATGTGATAGCGGAAATTCAATAAAATCGTATTGTTGTGACGAGAAGTGTGCCATTAAAAAAAAAAAATTTGGAGATTCCTTATTCTAGCCCTGACCTTGTCACCTTTTACATTTAATTCCACAATATTCCAGTGAAAATTGTTCCGTGATGGGACATTTTAACATTTACTTAGTCCCAGAAGTCCCGGGACATGTTGACGCTAACATTTAGATATTTAGAGAGTTGTGTAGAGCGATATAAAGCGCGAGACAGTGCTAATCTCCCTCAGGCTCAATTTACATTTCAGCGGAAAGGAATGGAACGCAAGCGTCAATTACGCCTCGCTGCACGAGAAGGCGCGCGCGGACGTTGGAATGCTCGAGCATTCGCGGGAATTCCGCGGAAGACGAGATACGTGATTTTTGGCTCGTATCTAGTTTGAACGTCACACAATTGACCATAAAAATTTCGCTTCCATTCCGTTCCGCCGTAATATAAATTGAGCCTTAGAGATCTCGCGCTTTATGTCGCTCTCGCACAAGTCGCGCCCTGTCGTGCTAACCCTACAAGAATGAGAAGCCTGAGAAATTCTGTTATCAGGACAACTTTAAAGGGAATAGACAAACAAGAACGGTACGGCATTTACACAATAAAAATCTCGAGCACCAAAGTAATAGAAATAAAGATCACGTGTATATAAAAAATATTATATTAATAACCTATATATAACTCGATTATCTCACATAAAGCTTACATCTTATTCTGGAATGAAAGTTTAGCATTACAATTCAAAAGAAAGATGTTCATACTAGATTAAAAAAAGACTACATGGTAAAATTAAGTGACATAATAAAAATACACAATCACGAACTAACATTACATGCAATCTTCACATACAAGAACACGATTACTTCTGTACAGGGCGTAAGAACAATTATAATTTATGTATTTTCGATTAAAATGTTTTATAAAGAAAATGATTGTTTTTACATTGATATATTTAAATATAATTATATCGCACGTTGAAATCTATACTGTCACTAAAGGAAAAATTCGACTATTGGGAAATAAACTATGTTATAGGTAATTTGATTTTTTAAATATATTTTGATTTGCTAAATTTGATGGCAATGTTTATTATTTAAATACAGACTTCGACTCTGTCAGATCGAAGAATTTTTTTTAGTGTGCGAACTTTGTATTAACAATTATAACAAACTAATGGAGTCATTACACGACAACTAAATGAATATCATGGTAGTAAAGACATCATGATATTCAATAAAATCAATAAAACCTAAACGTGTCTGAAAATATGTTTGAATTTAAAAAAAAAAACAGATTTTCGTTGAGTTACGTTTTCGATTTCAACGTGTGAATGTATAATATAATTAGATGTTTTCTTATACCCTGTACGCATCAGGAAATTAAAAGTTGCATAAAATTGTAAAGCAAATAAAATTATATCGTTGTTTTAACACATGCGCGAATTAAAAAAATAACAATAATATTGCAATTAATAAATATTACGGACACACCACAATGACAAATAAATGCAAATATTTAAATTATTTTTTATGAATTACACCGTTTTTGCGTTTTATCTTACACCGTCGCATTTTATTCCGTAATGGGGTACTGGGATCAATGTTCCCGGAAGTTCCTACATGGTTATAGGAACTCCTATTACACGTCCAAAAGCTACGGAATTAACGCGTCCTCGTAGATTGTAACACGTAGTTCCATGACAGTATGACGTCATCAATTAAAAGAACCGTTCACCGTCTTTATACTATTTTTTTTAATATACATATTTTAGGACGGTAGCAAACTCTCTTCATATCACACATCATATTTGTATTTTTTTTTAATATATTTTTTTCACATGTTACTAATAATTAGTGCCCCTAACGCATGCTAATAAATAATACTAAGCAGTCATGGTCAAGCTCTTTGAATTTTGCACGTATTTTCTTTATTATAATAAAGTGCAAAACACAACATGACTGACAGGTTTTTAAGTGTGACGTAACTGATCCTTATTATTTTTTTCTATAGCCGGTTAGTTTTTTTTTTGTATTTAAGCTACTACGCAAGTATCACTTAACACCGGGACAGCAACATTTCGAATGTCCTAGAATATTTCGTAGTAAAAAAAACTACATTACACGATGTACAATTCAAATGCAACTATTAAAACAAAGGATCATTTACTAAATGAAGCGAGCATCTTAATACCTATGACCTAGATTTAAGACCTAAATCTAGACTTATTTACTACTGGTGCGGAGCGTTGCTGGTGTTGATGCCTAGTGCATTGAACAGCTTTGATTTTAAGTTCATTCGCGGCTCGCTCGCCTGATTTGAACCCTATAAAATAAACAAGGCAAATAAAAATTTAATATTGCAACATAATTGGTGAGAGGCAAGGTCAGGTTATAAAGTTATGTTATAAATATGTAAAAAATTATTAAATGAAGAGAATGAGCAAAGAAAATTAGTATAATACGATATAGAGGCATTTCATTTTTTATGGCCTTATTTGCAGAATAATAAAATTACCCCTGATTAAGCCACGGAGCTACGGAGGAATGTAGGCGAGTACAGACTCATTTATAATTCTATACTTATGATTATTAATTATAACATATCATGGTTAATAAATTATTACGATTCGATCCGGCCGGATTACAACCGACATCTCCCAGCAAACTGTGGCAGATGCTATGGCAACTAAGCCACGGAACGAACCAGCGGACCTGACGATTATGTGCTTGTTGTTGGACATTTGTTTTTGGTTTTTAACGACTTTTTTGCCGTAGCACCGTCATTGAGGACATGAAAAAAACTTAATTATATAATTATCATAAATTCATAACTTTATAACTACTGACCATGTATGAAAAGCAAACTAGAAAAATAATATAAAAATGCAAAAATAATGAAGAAGTACATAGACAATTACATAAGGTGTATTAACAGATTTTGACATTAATTCAAATAGAGTGAGTGTGATGTGCAAATAAAATAGAGGTGGCTGTATTTCATAATTTGAAAATCCGATTACCATATTATGAATGCGACTCTAGCGTGAATTAGTTTGTGCATAGTTCGTATTAATTGCATAATATATTCGTAAACACCAAAGTAAGAATGATAATTTATGTTATTATTGAATCAAAGACCGAACAAACAAAGAAAAATTCCTTAGCGTTCGTTTGGTCTTTGTAGAAATAATAACAACAGACTATATAAAATATAGTCCATTTCGCATAGGATGAGTCCTGTGACATTTTCAACTTTTACGTAGCACGCTTACTATTTCTAACTAATTTCTCAACCAGGTAACAAAAATAAATAATAAATTTGTCATAATAATGTACCAAAACCAAACAATACTTGTTGCAGTGGTAATTTTAAATAAAAATTACAGTGTATTAAATAGACAGAAAATGAAATTATAAAGATAAAAATAAATCACCCAATTACTTGATGCGTAAAACGGAATATTTAATACGTCGATAAATCGAATCAGCTACAGTGTGTTTCTCGTCAATACGAGTGCATAAGCCTTGTATGCTTTTTTTTGTTCTGAGCTTTGCGTGATGTTTTTAGAGAGTTCAAATTTAGTTTCGTTGCAGTAGATTTTATGCTTTGATGTTGACTTTTTGTTTAGATGTTGATGATTTATTTATTTATTGTGTAGGTTTTTGGGTGAGTTAATAACATCATAATTGAATCCTTTTTTATTTTGTTTATTAATTGTTCTTAAATATTTTCTGTAAATCGATTCTCTGTTCGTTATACATTTTCATTCGATTTTACATCACCACATCTCTTACATCGCCACATCTCTAGAAATTTCAAATCTTGAACGTCACCGGCATTATGCTAATGTGAAATGAACTACAGTGGAGTATTTGTACAAAAAATATATGAACATTTTAGTAGTAAAAACATAATGATATTCAATAAAATAAATGTTATAATTTTCATTTTTACTTTGGCTACAGTTGCAGGTGAAGTTAAAGATGAAATGTACACCGCGTGCACGATACCTCAAATGATAAATCTATAACAATCACATACATCCTCTGCAAACGTATTGTAAAGTAGCTCCGTGCAACATCGATTTCCCGGATGAAATGACAAGTGTCAAAATAAAATATCGAAAAAAATTGGTTAGTATCAACGATTTATCGAGGGACTAGGGTTATACGACACCGAGTGCGCGTATGATACACATGGCGGGTGTAATAACACATCGCGTGAGCTAATGATACACACGGCGGACATTATGATACATAGCGTGAGCGTATGATATACCGCGTGAACGAATGATATACCGAGTGAGCGAATGATACACACGGCGAGCATTATGATACATCGAGTGAGCGTATGATATATCAAGTGAGTGAATGATACATCGAGTTAGTAAGTACATGACACATCGAGTGACAGTATGATACATCGAGTGAGCGAATAATACACACGGCGAGCATTATGATACACGAGTGAGCGTTTAATACACACGGCGAGCGTTATGATACATCGAGTGGGCCTGCGACAAACCGACGGCAATTTTTGTCTATCGCACCTCGTCGTGATGTTCCTGATGGTCGATGGATTCGCGGCTGCCGTGTCGACCGCGTGCTCGCGACTGTTTCACGATGTCCAATGCCTAAGGATATTGAATTCCAAGGTTATGGCGTATATCAAGTTTGTCAAATGATTTGAATTTGATCTAAAAGGATTTAACCGGTTAAATTGAACCGTAGTAAATGGACACAGGTATTACATATACGTGTGTAAGGCTAATTTAGTAAAGCCGATCAGCCACCTGCAACGAATCTAAGTTCGTTATAACGAATAATTAAACGTGACGAATAACGTTATAAAAGCGTGACTTACTTGTTGAACGTGCTATGCAGCGTGCAAATCAAAATTGTAATCAGTCAGTGCCACGTCATAGCTTAAATAATGTACTTTTATGTGTGAAAATTCATAAATATATTACTTATACATCTTCTATGTGCCGGTAGCGGTATCAAAGTGTAGATTTGCAAAGTTATTATTCCGTTAATAACACATTTATGAATTAAGCTATAAAAATTCGAATAAATAAGTTATTATTATAAATATGTATTTATATAATAAATGTTGTAACTACGTAAATATGTACCATATATCATATCTATATAATATAAATAGTTTTAAGAGAGCTATAATAAATAGATGGATCCATGAAGTTGACTTAATGAAATATCTGTAGACTTTTCAAGGTTGGTTATGCAAGCTTTTCGCTATTGACTGGGTAAAATCATTATATGGAAAATTTTATTGTAGTCATCGATTTTGCTGAGCAATAAAATGTCGATTACGTTAGTTATGACGAGGGCGGCAACATTATGTTGATATGCTTTTCAAGAAACTTTCACAAACCAGTTCGGTAAATAACCAGTCACAAAAGTCTATAGATAATAACATATCTTAGCAACAAATTGACTTAATTCATAAAGTAATTATTGGTCAACTGACAATATAAAAAAAAATGTAAAGCAACATTTTCGTTTTTACACTTAAAAAAGCAGGAGATTCGCAATTTGTCGTGGTGAATGTTCACTGATCACATGGCGCCGACTCAACCGGCGAGAGGGAAACCCGGGGGGTTTTAGTGGGGTAGTCCCTCCAGTCTGGAGGGAGAGTCCCCACATAACTCCTGAGTCTCCCTGGGCTCAGTGCTATCCATAAAGATTTCCCCCCCGTCAAAAAAAAAAAAAAAAAGAGATTCTCAATTTGACATTTGTTTTTGTATGTATGTTACATGATTACTCCGATTATTTGTGAATTAATTTTGATGATTCTTTTTTTGTTGGAAAGAGCGTATTACGGACAGGCGTGTCGCTTCATCAGGCGTAAGACTTGTTCGTCCCAATTTGAAAAGCTCATTTCTCAAATTGGTTTAGGGAATCCAGTCCGAGACCGCCGCATCCTGCGCCCACAGTGTAAACCGATAGAACATCATCAAAAAAATGTGGCCTTATTATTTTGTCACTTTACCAAATTATTACCTTTTTGAATTTCTTCAATTTATTATTTGGAGTGCGAGATATCATACTAGCTAGAAAAAAAAAATAGCATTTATACCTCTTTCCTGCTACGTAGCGCGCAGTCTTCGAGCGTCTCGGCCGCTTCGTACTTGCCTTGCCGACGGTACAGCGCTCCTAAGTTCTTTAGAGTTGTTGTCACTGTTGGGGAATCCACCTATGGGTAATAGAAACAATTGTCTTCTTTTGTCTTACTTTAAAACTCTTCGAAAAATTGATAAGAGCCCGTTGGTCGACCTCAAAAAGGTGGCATACAAGGTTTTCATAAATTTTACATAATTTTCATGCAATAATTTGTAATATACTGTAATCAGGCAGTCCAATTAATCGTAATCCAATACTAATAAAACACGACAAAATACACAATTACAGATTTAATAAGTAACTATAATAATATGTAAATTTTATACGAAATCTTCAATGTTATAGAATTTTCTTTGATACAAAAATTATTGCGCATTTGACCTCCATCTCACCTGATGGAAAGTGAAGATGAGGTCGCCGATGCAGCATGCACACCTAAATAACGCCTATCCACTCTCGCCTTGAAAAGGTCCGTTATAGCGTTCGGGAAATAAGTCCCCAGGCAGGGAATTCCAGTCGTCAAGCGCTTCGCGCGAAGCCTTGGAATAGCCCCAACACAGGTGTGGGATCCCAGCCTACGTCAGGTCCCCCGATGATAGAAAGGGGAAGGCGGAATTAAATCTTGCATATAATACATGAATAATGTCGCATCTTTCAAGTAATTAAATAATCATCCTTTAAATTCTGCACATATGCAAGTCGTAATAGTAATAATGGGTTAATCCAGTCAGCCTTGCTAACAGCTTGAAGCGGTTGGATTTCTATGGCGTATCTTTTCCAGCACAAATGCAGAAGGCAGTCCTGCTCGATACGGCACGTATTGTTCGCCGGTTCTTGAGCCTGGGTCCCTGACCCAGGCCGACTGAGCCATTGCCGGGGAATACCGTCGCTCGCATTTAAAAATTCAAAATCTTTTAGACCTTGGGAGAAGCGAGAGTCTAAAATATTATAATAATGATATAAATATAATAATAATATAGTTTTCTACGTAGAGCTAGCAAGAGCTTGGATAGTGTGCTGAGCAATCATAACCTGGATGTTGATATATTCAATTGCAAAGATATTGCTAAGGCGTAAACTTAAGGATATTCTATTTAATTTTATTGAATAATTTGTGATTCGCGCACGTATTGGATTGTTATTATTTACGTAAGTGTATGTTGTTAATAAACACTGTTTATTGTTCGTTTGTTTAGTGCTCGTGTATGATTTGTCTGAATCTATAGGTGGAAACCTATAATTGGCTTTATGTTTATTTCCTGTTTTTATTAAATGTAAGAAGCTGTTGGTTTTCCATGAATAAATATAAAATAAAATAAAAATATACCTTAGCAGCCTTATGCCAGCCGCCGTACTCGCCATACGGAGCGTTCTCCTTCTGTAGATGTTTGTTCTCCTCACGCTCCTCAGCGACTTGCCAAATAGGTTTGTTATCTCCTGCGAAACATACATTGCGTTATAACAAAACATTTCCTTTTTACGCAGGTTATGTAAGCAGACATGTATTTTGCCTAACTCAAACACACTTATTAAGAAATAAAGCGTTGTTTTCTACCCTCATTATTGTTGTTACCAATAGATAAGATTTACATTCCATTTCGGTAAAAAAAAAAAACAAAAGAAAAGTAAAAAATAGTTTGTGGAAAATCCTAGAAATGTTAGAAAGCAATTGTGGTTACCAGCACCGTATAACAATGTGACACAAGTTGGGAAGGTGTGACACAATGGGAACAAAAAAGAAATAAGAAAAACAAGAAATACAAATATTAAACGAAAATTAAAAACCCTTTCCTACCTGTGCCACACTTTGACCAAACTTGTGTCACTCACCTTAATTTTAACTTGTTTTAAGTAAGGTTAAGTTAAACAATCCACCCTCTGCACCACAAAGGATAACTTAAAAAATTAATAAATAAAAAATAATTTACAACATAAAACTTTAATACATCAGGACAATAAGAATCAACAAATAAAAATTATTATAAATCTTCAGCAAACAATTTATGCCTCATTTCAAAATTACATATAAATTCAACATACAAAAATGTCTATAGGCAAGAATTTTCATTACATTTTTTAATGATTTATTATAAGGCACTACAAATTGCACATAACTAAAAAAAACTAACTACATCATTCAACGACAAAATAAAATTAAGATATTTTACAATCATCCTGATTTCCTTTCAAGTAGCCAAAAGGGAACAGAGACTTTCATAAAATGAACATTACTTTAATTCTAAATTGTATGTTGAAACTATGCGTTCATAGTCAATATACAAAGTAATGGAGTTTTAAATATTACAAAAAACGCTCTTTCTAATTTGAAAACTAAATTCATGATTATACAGGATGTTACAAAAATATATGAAAAAATATGTGACGAGTTCAAGTTCCATGGAAATTATTAGAAAAAGAATCTTAGCCGCGTTTAATGGAAGGCTCTTTCTGTAATACTTCTTAACTTCAGAATAATTGCTTGCATTCTAATGTAGATGATTTTATACATTAAAACCACACTTTTATAACAACCCGTACAATGTTATTTCAATTTTTAAATTACCTACTAAGTACCAATACAAAGGTAGAAAAATAAAATGTTCTAGATGTCTGTTTAAAAAAATCAATCCAGAGCAATTCAAATGCAAGAGAGATCTACAAAAACAATACAAAAATATGGAAGTATACATATATTACTTTCTAAATCGAGCTATTATTTACAATTTAATCATAAAAAAGAGAAACAAAATAATAACAAAAATAGTGGAGATTGTCAATAAAAAGCCGAATTTAAAAAATAAATAAATATTTTTGGCAATTATGTCTCTTTGTGCTTTGGCTTTAAAAATGTTAATTTAAATTTTAGACTTCCACCAAGGAGAGATGAATGACAAATCCCGGAAAAGAATATTCCTCTATAAACTCTATATTGAGGACTCACAAGGGCTACCACAAGGTCTTTCACGCTATATAAAAGTCGACCTAGGCCCGTAAATGAATAAAACAATTTCTAGTGCTCTAGTATCGTTATTCATAATCATTATCTTCATTACTTAAGTCTATGTCTTCGGCAATAAATCGACCCCTCCTCCTATGTAAAGTCTCGTATGTCAAAATTGCCAAGTTTACAGGGGAGCGCGTTAAAGTTTTGAATTCACTAGGGTAATTTTACCAAGTGCACTGACACTGGGTAAAATTACCCTACACACGTCTGTCCGAGAGCGTTCGTACCGTGTACATACATACTCATCATTTTCTCGTCTGCAACAGACACGACATATTTTCGTGGCTAGATACGTAAAAGTTCTTGTCGTGTAAGTGAAAAAAATGTTGCCCTTTGACTGTCATTCAACTCTCCTATTCTAACATTTAAGCAAAGGAATAAATATTGTCAATTAGTTATTGTCATATTATGCTAGTAGGAATGTACAAGTTGATTGCAAGAGAAACTTTAAAACCTATTTTCTTAAAGTCGATTATACAATAGCAGGCCGTAACTATTACCAATCGAGCTTCAGAAAAAAAGTATCGGGCATGATCGGCTACCTTCGGATTTGAAGAGCGCTGTAAAATGTAATACAAGTACGAGTGACAGAGACGACGCTCTATTAGATCGCCATCAGCCGATCGTCTTTTTATAAAGCTCCTCGGTTTTAGTTCTTACTGCTCAAATAACAAGGTCACTAATAAATTGGAATCAGCGGCCGACTGGCAACTGACGGTATAAGAGCTCATCCAAGAGGACTAACTTGTAAGTTAATCTTAAGTTGTGCATCTCCTAATTTCCTATACAAAGATTGCCTAAAAGAAATTGTTACTTAGTAAATGTAACGGATGTTATACATTAGCTTACTGTAATTTACATCGATGCCTGTTGCCAATCTCAAATTAAATAATTCACCAGGTAGATGATTTAAAAAACCTGAGACATGTCTGCCTGGTAAAAATTTACATTTTATATACCATCTCTCAACGTTGTAACGTGATTATTTTAACCAACGAAAATCTCGGTGGACCATTCATAGTCAAATTGAGCATCTGGAGAAATCTCAGTAATAAATAAAAAAAGAAAGTATTTTAGATTAAGCCACTATTCTAGACAAGCAGCGATATAGTTTTATGTTTTTGCAAGTGCTGTACATTGGAAATGATTTTTTTTTTCCCGGACCTAAATGACGTACATTATCGGGTTCTGAAGTATTTGCGATTGCGAAAAAATATTCATTCGTTATAATTATGAATACAAAGATCGAACAATTAGAAAAAATTCCTTCGATCTGGCCGGATTCGGATCGACGTCTCCAAGCAAACCACGCCAGACGCTATGCCAACTAGGCCACAGAACGAACCAGCCTCACGAATTTTTCAATGGGTTTGTTATCGGATCTTTGTATTTGGTTTTCAACGACTTTTTATCCATAGCGCCATTTATGAGATGATTCGATCTTTGTATTAATAATTATAACAAACTAGTAGAGTAATTTCACCAAAAATAATTTAATATCATGTTCAATAAAAATTTAATAAAAGATTAATTCATTAAAATCTCAGATATTTCGAAACAGATTCACTGTTTAATTAAATGAAATTAATTTAATTAAAATTATTGTTCCAAAAAGCCTTACCTACATTATTTAAAGTACACTTATGTGAAAATTACGTAAGTACTAAATATAACATGTCACTTGGAAAGAGGCCGGTGCATATCCAGCAGCTACAGTAGGTAAATAGAGAATACATGAAAGTATAGCCTTCCAAAATTCTTAACATTTGTCATCGGATTCTGACTGACTTTCAAGTTAGACGATTAGAAAGCAGGTAAGTTCTACAGCTTCTCTTGCAATATTATGTATTTAATTTAACACTAATATTGGTAGACTATCAACAACCACGGAAACGTCAAACGTAACTAAATTAAGCCGGTTTCACATTTCTACCATTTTGACGTATCAGATCTCTGTAGGAAACTTTAAATGATTCGCATACCAACCATGCAGCTAAATATGTAAAGAGCATTTTACTTCGTACATAGAAAATAATGGGTAGACTGGCGATTAAATTTAGATTTAATAAATAATTAATTCAAAAAGAATATTCATAATTAAATAATGTGTCCCATCACCGGTTTATGAAGTTTGACGTGTCGCGTCGTTCTGATCAAGCGAAATTGGACGGATTATAATTATAATTTTATTTCTAATTAATCTGTTGATTTTGTTTTTATCATATAAAGAGAAAGTAAACACTACAATGTGTTACATGACTCGTTTTCATACCAATTAGTGTGGTAGTAGACAACATCGTCAAACTTGTGGGCCGTATACGAGTGAGACTAGAGCAAGATCGCGGTGAATCTAATACATCTGACAATGGGTGAGTCAGGCTGTGAATAATGGCAATGATAAACCCGGTCCATAACTGACAATTTATATGTCAAAATTATATAAGTGCGGAACCGGCCGTCAAATTGTTCAACAGGCATTTCTGCGGCTGTCGACAACCAATTGTTAATTTATAACTATTATTATCTTCTCCTAAGTTAGTCTGGCGCTATGATACAGTGCGGGCGGATTGTTACTTTTTGGGCTTTTTTAGAGACGCTATATACTCTGAAATGGTAAATAAAAATATCAAACATATCGAAATAAATAGGTAGCATTCAATAAATAATACACGTTGAATATGGGATTTGGCAAAAAAAAAAATTACAGAAATATCAAAACGGGTTTTAAAAGTCTTTACCAGCAAAGTTTCTATATTCATCGTTTTCAGTGTTCATAAGGAATTAAAGTATTGGGTAGAAAAACAATCATTTGGACACACATCGACGATTTTCTAGAATAGCGGCACAAACTCAAAATATTTATTACACATCTCGCAGATCTTCAAGTAACAAACAAGTTCTAACTAGAATAATTCACGTTTTGACTTATAAGTATAACACAGGAGTATCCTGAAGGCGCTACATTTGATTGTGAATTAGACACCGAGCTCCCCACTAGCTAAATATAAGCACATAACACCATTGATATTAACCATACTAATCTAGAATACACTTCCATTCCTTTTCGCAGCAATGTAAATGGAGCCTAAGGTTCCGAGCTTTTCATTAGTTAAATTAATCACATGTAGATGATAATAATAATAATAAAGCACACACTCAACATAGCCCCGCAATAGGGAAACCCTGTGTCGCGGGTGCCATGGACACACACATAGACAACGACAAATTACACCCAAACTCACGAGAGATATAAATATAGGCCATACAAATACTTCTCCCGACCCGGGAATCGAACCTGGGACCTCTGCGTGGCAGTCCGGTATGGTAACCGTTCGGCCACAGAGGCAGTTAGGTAGAGGTGGACGTTAAAACAAAAAGCGCTTAAAAAGTTTGCTTTTTAAATTATTTTAACATAAACTTCTGTTGGGCAGTT